GGTGTGTTTGAATTTTGTCAAAGAGATTGTTTCCGAAAACCATTCATATTAACGTAATCTTAATGTCATCTATCAGTGTTCTGCAAAACATAAAAATGTGTATATTTTTCAGTATGCTGATATGCACATTTTTTCACCATTCTGTTCAAAGATCAAGTAATAAAAAAGGACCCAATAGAGGGAAAAATATCTAGATTTATATATTTATTCTTGGTCATTTTTTGATTGATCTGCGAATAAAAGCAACATTTAGTGGCTGTCAACCCTCAATCATCTTTTTTTGGTGCAATGAATGGAACTCTGAATCACAAATCCCATGAAAAGTTTTCATCATTGTCCATTTAATTTGTTTTGTGATTTGTCCAAGTAGCATTTTGGAGTTGGGGAATTCAGACACACCACCAAATGTATCCAATCCAATACAAATCTTGTACATGGTCAGTTAGGACATTTTGGTTAGCAGCCATAGGTGAGCACATAAAGTCATAAACCGAGGGAACGGCCTGGTTGGAGAGTGGGGTATAAAATATGGAGAGGAAGGAGGACTGGTGGCAAAAGCTTGGTATGGAAAAAGAATGGACCACAAAGTGTGAAGGGAAAGTATTACAGGGAGTACAAACAAGGGGATAGAAGGAGTAGTGGGACACGCTGTGGTAGGGAAGTGAGAATTTGGCTTATGTGGAGGTACCATAAAGCAGGGCACAATCTGTGGAGGGCAAGGGAGACTGGGGGCACAAACAGGTTGTGGGAGGGAGTGATTGGACAGAGGTGGAAGATTTTTGAAGATTCCAACTAGGGTGAAAATAATAATAGTAATAATAATAATAACAAACTGTGGGGAGGGAGATTGAGGCAGACACAGAATTGAGGGGACAGAGCACCTTTCTCCACAATGCAAATGCTAACCTACATTTATGTACACTGATACCACCTAGTACAAATGCACCCTTGTATTCTCATAAAATGAAACTACACAAAAATATTCTCATTAATGCTGCATGCACACACATTCATTACATACAGTAAACCCTTGCATTTACACTCACTAACACTAGAAATATACTTTTGCATTAACACATAAATACCATACACACAGATTTGGCTGTGTGTAGATTGCTTTTCAAAGATTTATATAGATTTAGAAAGTTACATTTTATTTTATGCTTTATAGAAATACTGAGAGTGTGTGGTTTAGAAACCATACCATATTTATTTTCTTGCAATATTTAATCCAGGGTGTGAAATATTAAAATGGAAGCAGAAATAGGTTGTTTTTTTCACATACTGCAGATGTGAGTACAACAGATAAAGGACAGTTATATTAATTTGCATTTTCACTGAAAAGGCAGCTATAGATATAGACGTCCCTGTATCAAACCCATTGACCATTCAAACACCACCAAACCACAGTCCAACAAGTAAAACACAATGCAGGTATATTTATAAATTTAAGATTTTGCCATTTTACTCCATTCCAGCAACAGAACTGCTGTTACTGCAGCTGGTGTGGCCGCACTGGGGCCTGCATGCTAAGGGGGGGCATTGGGTGGCCCATACACTTAAGGTGCCAGAGCTGGGAGGAAGTGAGAGTCTGTCACTTTCTCTCAGATAATGGGATAGAGCTACATGGGAGACTGAGAGGAAGGAAAGAGCTTCTTTAGCCACACACCCCTCCTGTCTCCTACCTGCAAGATAATAGTTTCCAAGAGGTCCAGTCAACCGGCTGAGGCTATTGGGAGTTAGAGATTCTCCCTTTCTGCTCACCTCCTCTTCAATCCCATGCAGTTCTTATATCTGAAAGGAAGTGACCGGCTGTCTCTTCCTTCAATGCTGCTGATATCACAGTTGTGCTGTTAAAGGGCTGCAGCACTGACCCAGCCCCTGAAAACACATTTGCCATAAGCTGGCCCTAAATGCATGGGCCACAAAGTGGGCCCCCTCAGCATGCGTGCACAGGGTAGTTCTGACGCTGTGTGTATGTATCAGTATGTACAGCAATACTACACACAAATGCATGCCCACATTTAAAAGTCAACATTACGGGGGCGTGGCTAGCCGGGCAAAGAACAAGACGTGCTGCTGTGGAGCTCCCGTAAGCCTCACGGCTAAATAGCACAAATCGCCACGAAAACAGACAGAATTAACCCCAAAAATACACACCAGCTCTTGCAGAACCCCTCCAGGTCGCAATGGGGCGAAAAAACCGCAAATTAACTCACTCGGGGAGCGCAAAACAGCCGGACATCCGAGAGTCCTTTGAAAGGCCGCAGCAGACCTCGCTACCCAAGATGGCGCCCACAAGGACTCGAGACTCTAGCTACTCAGATGAGTCCCTGGAGGAAGACAGCTTTATGCCAGCAAGGACCCTGAGCAAGGTATATGGGAGCGAAGAGTCGGACTCCGACACCTCACCCTCTACCAAAGGGGACATTAAAAAACTACTGATAGACCTACGTGAGGTATGGAAGGCCGACCTGGCTGGCGTGCGCACAGAGGTTGATGGCCTCTCCACGCGGGTTGCGGCGGTGGAAACTAGGGAATCACACAGGGAGCAGGAGCTCAAGGAGACCCGAGCCCAAATAGAAACTATGTCCCAACAAATTCAGGGGCTTACCCGCACGGTCACCTCGCTGGAATCCCGACACCGCAAGAAAAACGTACGGCTCCGCGGGATACCCGAAAGAGTGAACACGGAGACTATACTGGACTTCGCCAATGAAGTAGCAAAAACGCTGGGAGTACAAACCAAAGCTGGCGACATGCCCCTCCTGACCGCGTTCCGAATACGAAAGGCTCCGACGGCCCCTGCGGATGCCCCCAGAGACGTCATAGCTGTCACCCGAGACATTTCAATTAAGGCTGCAATCCTGGCACGATCGAGGAATACCTCTGACATCAGAGTAGACGGATGCTCAATACGGGTATACGATGACTTACCCTTCAATGTCCTACTGGAGAGGCGGAGGTTTATGCCCGTGACGAAGGAACTCAGAGATAACGGGATCCGATACAGATGGGGAGCACTGGGCACCCTCGTGGTACAGCAGGGAGACAAGATACTGACCCTTTCTGCACAAGAGGACCCAACCGGTTTCCTGATGGCACTTAACTTGCCGCAGAAGGCAAAACTTGCGACAAATGCAGAAACAACATCGGCGACTGAAGAGGCCAGCACGGCACGGAGACGGAATCCAGAGGCGGGAACCAAGCATAGAGAACCAAGAAGACTGAACCCACCATAAACCGGCTTGAATGACGGAGGGTAGGGGACATCAATACCCCCGGGACCTGCCAAAGACTGTAACACACTCTTGCCTGTTGAAAACGAAGAAAGCCCACACAAGTAATGCGATGCACCTCCAACGACGACTTTACCCTACAGGACTTCCACCAGGTGACACCCGCTGTTTACACCTCCCTCCTGCCACCGACCTAGGCTAGATTAACGACCAGAGCAATCACACATCCTTAGCCCACACAACACAAATGCGCTAGCACTTGAGGCACACAATCAATCAGGGGTCCCTAGAACCTAGCCGGACACACCGACAATCTCTCACTCATAAACCGGGCTATGGGCCACCCTCACTGACTGATGACTTGACAGGCCACGAACGGACATATTAGGGACATGGATACCCACGCACCTAAACAAACACCCTACAGGCGGGTTAACAGGCCACACTGACACATCTTCTCCCTAGTCATGGGGGTACATCCTTTCACTAGCCACCTCGGAGCCTAGTCCCTGCTGCACCATAATGACAGCCCACAGACCCATTGATAAGTCCACTGATGGCAGGACTACATAACATCACCCACGATCGGAGCAGTAATGTGCCTAACACACCTAGACGGCCACTACAATAGGGACTTCAGGATCAACCTGTCTTGACACCGTGTGCTCCTTCCTGCTACCATGGACTAAAACTGGACACATTACCCTCAATGCTTTACCTATAATACCTGTTTGTTATGAAGTAAAAGGTTTGCTTGTGCCAGCTGTTGTGGCTGCACAGGCATAATGTTATACTTGTGCACAACATAAATAAAAATAAAGAAAAAAAAAAAAAAAGTCAACATTACATACAAAGACACCCCTGCAATCAAATGCAAACATTACATACAAATACACCCCTGTATTAAAACATTAAAATGATGAGATAGCTCAGTGGGCTAATGCATCATCAGTAAAATTTGGTCACAGTTTCAAATCCCAGCAGGGTTGACTCAGCCCTTCATCCTTCCGAGGTAGATAAAATGAGTACCATTATATTGGGTAATAGTAACAACTCCTGGATGTTGGGTTAAGGTAACATCCCCAGGACATAATTGAAAACCACAGTAATCTGAATGTGCCGTTCCTGGTTAAATACTTTGTTATTATTATTATTATATAAAACACACACCTGCAATCAAATGCAAACATTACATAGCAGTACCCATTGCATTCCGGTGGTAATAGTACTTGCAAAGACACTTACTCCTTACAAAAACGTGATTACATTAAAACACATCCCCACCAATACAATCATGCAAGGATGGTAGATACCCAGCTGGCTGTGGCAAAGCATCATGGGGGTTTATGACAGACGAGGATCTACCATTTAACCATCCTTGCACTAGAGGATGCAACAAACATTTCTTTTGCAACAGGGCTCTTTCTACATTAGTTGAACCTCTGCACTGTTGCCCCACTTTTTTTAATCTATCTTTATCCAGATTTCTGAACATGTTCAATCATAAATGGAATCCTTTGCTGTTGTTGAAATAGCCCCTATTTATAAAATATTAACATTAAAATATAATATAATTTATATCTGATGTTAACGTTTGTCATATGATGCTTAATTTTCCATTAAGTCCATTAAATTTTCCATTAAATCCAATACAATTCAATACAATAATGGCACAACCAGGACACATGATGAATTGGAGAATATTCTATATAATTAAATTGCTTTTATTGCATACTGGCTGACAGAGCTAAAATTGAGACACTCAGTTTCAGAATAAAGATAAACATAGCAGTGTGGATTTGTACATTGAACAGCGAGCATGGCATATAAACAGTAGCACAATTTTAAATGAAGGTAGCATGGGATAGAGATAACATGAACACAGGTATTCTTATCGATAAACATTAGCACGAAAGCAGGCGTAACTAGTAGCTGGTCCCGGGTATCTAAAGTAGTACTAGGATCATATTATTCAGGACATAGCTGGCATTTGAGCCCGTCTTCATAAGTAGGGTTAAGCTAGCAGTTAAATTACTGGATTATGAAATTATATTGATTAGGTGAGTTGCATAAGGCGTTTGATCATATCAAAATAGAGATAGAACTCTGTACCTATATTTCATAATTAAGAACATAGAGACAAAGGGACAATCCTTGAGGGGTCCCATACATGCGATGTGGCCAGGATCTCTTGAGGGTTGGATCTCTCTGGGAGCCCCTATGCTCGAAGGAAGAGGGCCTGCTTTGGACGGCGAGATGAGGCCTCTTCGTAATGTCCATCTGTAGTCTATCCCTGAGTCTCTGAGCTGGCTTGTTACTGGTCTCACAGATTGTCTCCACAGTAGAGTGTTTTATGTTAGGTCTTGGAAGAACAAGAGCAGTGATGACTCAAAGTCCAGTGAAGTCCTGCTTTTCACCACAGCTAGCGTTCGCTATTTGTCTGTCAGGGATTGACATCTTATGAAGCTGATTAAGGTGCCTGTCTGGGCTTGTTTATATAAAAAAAAGCCATTAAAAATAATTTTCTTTGCCTGAGCATGTGGCATCAGTGCTGCTGTAAGCTTTCTGAGGTAATGCGGTAAGTCGTCGGGACCGATCACATCCAGTATTCCATTGATCTTTAGATTGGTGCGCCTATTCCGGTCCTTGGCCAGGTCAGTTCTTGTTAACAGGGCAGAGTATGGGGACTGGAATTGGAGGAAGTCTTATTTTAGGGACTTAACCTCTTATTGTACCTCCACTATGTCTTCTTCAGAAGCCTGTACTCGGGCTGTCACCACCTGAACCTCTGTTCTCATCAGATCCATATCTATTTTAATTCCAGCAGGAGATTCTTGATGTTCAGCTTAGTGACTGGGGTCAATCCATCTTAGTCAATGGACCCTGTGATGAGTGTGGGTGCTGAAGGTTCCACGGTGCTCTTACGTGGCCTGCTCCGAGGAGGTGGAACCATCATTTTGTTCTGGGCATACCGCCATCATGCGGGCCACCGAATGTTGTAGCATGGTGCCAATATCTCAAGAGTCAGTACTGGTATATCCTTGTGTTTTCCGGCCCATGCTGTCAGCAGCGTGGAATACCTCTCAGATCATTATACAAAAAGAATACCACCAGATAAGGTAAACAAACCCTATCCCCAATAATGGAAGAAGAAGGGACACTTCCACTGTGGATACCCCTAAAATACAAATATATATACAAATATATAAGTGCCCCAGCTGTTAGGAAAAACCAACCGGTCAATATAACAAATAGGCACAGCACAAAAAACAAAACAAAAGAGTGAGATGCTACGAAAAACAGTGTAACAGCATCAAAGTAAATAAATAGCCCAACGCGCGTTTCTGTAAACCGCCTTTCTCAAGGGCATATAGTGTAATAAGATCATCTGGGAGGAGTTATGAGCCTCAGGGTGGATTGCCAGGTATGGGAATATGGCCTTCCTTGATAAGGAAGCGATGCAGGCCCCAGATCTCTGGGGCACTTTCCTGCCCATCTGCGGGAATAAGAAGGGCATTGGCCAGTAGCTTACGGCACCAGAATGAGAAGACGTGAAATTTCTAGCTGATTGTGTGCTGGGATCGTTGATTTACTTGGATTTAGTGTCTAATTCTAGGAACTAAGGGAAAATACATCTAGTCAGCTCGGGTGTTAGTTTTCACCCCCTACATGTACATAATTTTAATAAAGTAGCATCCGATATTGTTTAATTACAATCTTAGATAATTGATTCATTGTCTAATAATATGAACACTCCCCAATAAGTGTAGATCAACAGGAGAGACACAGACAAAGAATGCACCATTGTGTGGGCCACTTGTGAAGCAAGAAGCGAGTCGGGGAATGTCAACAAAATATAGCTCAAACTGGGTCAGGGTACACCAGTCTCTGAATAGAAAGCATATAGAAAAAGTCAGTTAGTTGATATTGTCATTTCTCTTGTATATGACTATATTTCAGGAATACTGTTCTGATTGAAATTATCAATACTGTACTATTTTAGCACGTAGGTCTATTATAGCTAGGTCCATCTTTAATATTGATTGGACCCTGGGCAAGCATAGAAACATAGAAACATAGAAACATAGAATGTGACGGCAGATAAGAACCATTCGGCCCATCTAGTCTGCCCAATTTTCTAAAAACTTTCATTAGTCCCTAGCCTTATCTTATGGTTAGGATAGCCTTATGCCTATCCCATGCATGCTTAAACTCCTTTACTGTGTTAACCTCTACCACTTCAGCTGGAAGGCTATTCCATGCATCCACTACCCTCTCAGTAAAGTAATACTTCCTGATATTATTTTTAAACCTTTGTCCCTCTAATTTAAGACTATGTCCTCTTGTTGTGGTAGTTTTTCTTCTTTTAAATATAGTCTCCTCCTTTACTGTGTTGATTCCCTTTATATATTTAAATGTTTCTATCATATCCCCCCTGTCTCGTCTTTCCTCCAAGCTATACATGTTAAGATCCTTTAACCTTTCCTGGTAAGTTTTATCCCGCAATCCATGAACCAGTTTAGTAGCCCTTCTCTGAACCCTCTCTAAGGTATCAATATCCTTCTGAAGATACGGTCTCCAGTACTGTGTACAATACTCCAAGTGAGGTCTCACCAGTGTTCTGTACAATGGCATGAGCACTTCCCTCTTTCTACTGCTAATACCTCTCCCTATACAACCAAGCATTCTGCTAGCATTTCCTGCTGCTCTATTACATTGTCTGCCTACCTTTAAGTCATCAGAAATAATCACCCCTAAATCCCTTTCCTCAATGTTGAGGTTAGGACTCTATCAAATATTCTGTACTCTGCCCTTGGGTTTTTACGTCCAAGATGCATTATCTTGCACTTATCCACATTAAATGTCAGTTGCCACAATTCTGACCATTTTTCTAGTTTACCTAAATCATTTGCCATTTGGCTTATCCCTCCTGGAACATCAACCCTGTTACATATCTTAGTATCATCAGCAAAAAGACATACCTTACCATCAAGACCTTCTGCAATATCACTAATAAAAATATTAAAGAGAATGGGTCCAAGTACAGATCCCTGAGGTACCCCACTGGTGACAAGTCCAAGCTTTGAATATATTCCATTAACTACAACCCTCTGTTGCCTGTCACTCAGCCACTGCCTTACCCATTCAACAATATTGGAATCCAAACTTAAAGATTGCAGTTTATTGATAAGCCTTCTATGTGCAACAGTGTCAAAAGCCTTACTGAAATCTAGGTAAGCAATGTCTACTGCACCACCCTGATCTATAATTTTAGTTACCCAATCAAAAAATCAATAAGATTAGTTTGGCATGATCTCCCTGAAGTAAACCCATGTTGTCTCTGATCTTGAAATCCATGTGTTTTTAGATGCTCATCAATCCTATCCTTTAACATGGTTTCCATCACTTTCCCCACTACTGAAGTAAGGCTTACTGGCCTATAGTTGCCCGACTCCTCCCTATTACCTTTCTTGTAAATGGGCACAACATTCGCTAACTTCCAATCTTCTGGGACTACACCTGTTAACAATGATTGGTTAAATAAATCTGTTAATGGTTTTGCTAGTACACCACTAAGCTCTTTTAATAGCTTTGGGTGTATTCCATCAGGTCCCATTGACTTATTTGTCTTTACTTTTGACAGTTGAGATAGAACCTCTTCCTCTGTAAACTCACGTGTAATAAATGACTCATTTATCCTTTTTCTCAACTGAGGTCCCTTTCCTTCATTTTCTTCTGTAAATACAGAACAAAAATATTCATTGAGGCAGTCAGCCTGACCTTTATCCTCTTCTACATACCTTCCTTCTTTTGTTTTTAATCTAACTAATCCTTGTTTTACTTTTCTTTTCTCATTTATGTATCTAAAAAATGTTTTATCCCCCTTTTTTACTGTCTGTGCTATTTTCTCTTCTGTGTGTGATTTGGAAGCTCTTATAACTTGCTTAGCCTCTTTCTGCCTAATCTTATAGATCATTTTGTCTCCCTCACTCTGGGTTTTTTTATAATTCCTAAATGCTAACTTTTTGTTTTTAACTATTTTGGCCACATCTGCGGAGTACCACAGTGGTTTCTTGAATTTTTTGCTTTTACTGACAAGCCTAATGCAATTTTCTGTTGCCTTCAATAGTGCAACTTTTAAATAATCCCATTTTTCTTGGACTCCATTTAAATTGCTCCAGTCTGATAATGACTCCTCTACCCATATTCTAATTTTAGAAAAGTCTGTTTTTCTAAAGTCTAAAACTTTTGTTTTTGTGTGGTGTGACTCAGTCACTGTTCTTATATTAAACCACACTGACTCATGATCACTGGATCCTAAACTTTCACCTACAGTAACATCTGATACTAAATCTCCATTTGTTAACACTAAATCTAGTATGGCCTCTTTACGAGTTGGCTCCTCAACAACTTGTTTTAGAGACAAACCCAGTAGGGAGTTTAGAATATGTGTGCTCCTGGCACAAGTAGCTAATTTTGTTTTTGCTTGGGCCGCCTGCCACAACCCCTATTCCCTGGCATGCAATCATGCCTTCAACCGCAATGAAGTGGCGGAATTTAACTAGAAACAGCCCTGGTGCAAGGCTTCTTTTGGGCCCTGCTATCGCAAGGGTGGCCAAAAGGTAGATCTCCATCTGTAATACAACTCCAACAATGCTTTGACAGCTGGGGCTCTACCATTGTCCCATGCTTGAAGGGTTGTATTTAGCAGTGAGCAGTGTTTTTGTAATTGAATGTAAATGTTTTTGAATGGAGTATGTTTGTTTGAATGTAGGGATATGTTTGTATGTGGTGTTGGCATTTGAATGCAAGCATGCATTTATGTGTATGCAGGTGTGTGTTTATATATATATATGTATATATATATATATATATATATATATAAATATATATATATATATATACATATATATATATATATATATATATATCTTTGGTGTTTTTAACAAAGAGGTGTGTTTGTATGTAGTGTTAACATTTCAATACAGGAGTGTGTTTGTATGTAGTGTTCGCGTTTGAATGCTGAAATGTATACACATATACACATACACTGCCACACACACTGTAATAAACACACACACACACTGATAGACATGCAGATATATAGACACACAGATACACAACCTAACACACATGCAGATACACAAATACAAACAATGACAAACGCACACTGACACACATGCAGATACAAAGATACACACACTGACTACGTACAGATACACACACTGACTACATACAGATACACAGATACACACAATGAAAACATACAGATACAAACACTGACACATATAGATACACAGATACTAAACCTGACACACCGATACTGGCAGACACACTGGCACACACACAGCAAGGC